TATACGTGTGTATGTAAACGCTTTAACCAGTATTGTTACGTAAGATTGAAGTTTCTAGAAAACGTTCCCACACTACAAATATTACTAATGCCACGCGCCAGAGAGTGTCTATTACTAGTTCGCTATAATCAGCATACTATAACTCCGAAAGCTATAATTGTGATTTTTAGAACGCTCATCAATCAGAAAACTTAAGATATTCGACCAGGAATATTTATAAATTTTGAACATTACAAATCGTTTAACTTCAGCGGATTCACATAGTGTTTTTTTACGAAAACTTTACCAATTTCAACGGCGGAAAACAGCGTGTGTGGCCAAGGAGACGAAGCTAGCTAGCTACCTGGCGAATCGTACTTACATCAACTCGTTCATTGTAAACCCTCGATAAGATATCAAGGAAGTTCCAGACTAGAAAGAAAACTTTATATTGTTTGTAAGTTTGTGAAACTTCTGTTTGTAAATCATTGTTTGTAATAACTTTTTGTAATAATTGTTATTGTAAATTATACTGTTGTGTGTATATTAAAACGTATTTGTGTTAAAAACGAAAACTGTGTGTATCAATCTTGTTGTCAAATATCGTAATTTGACTACAATATCGGCATATATTCAAATACTAAATCCAAAGTACAATTTAACTTCTAAATTTGAATTATCAGTTAACTCGGCTTCGACTGTTTGAAATTCTAATACGTAATGTCATGTAAAAATCGTAGAGCTTATTTCAACGATCAGATAATTACAAAGTTTATTATTTTTATCTTACTGGAATTTTCTATATATTTCATACTTCTCTCCTGGTGTTAATACATGTTAATTACAACAGTTGGTTCATATCTAAGAATCCAATGTAAACATTTCGTGGTCAATTCGACGGCAGAATGGGTGATTAAGTTTCTGGTCCTCTTGCTTTGATGAAGCTCGCTACCATAGTTGGGCAAGTGCTACTTAATCACAGGAATCACTTTCCTTGGCGACTGTTAACATTTTCTTAACTTCAGTCATATTAACAGTTACATGCAAAGAGTTCCAACACCAAAACCAACAGGAATGAAGTTAGTTTCATATTCTCCCTACCTTCATGATGTCATTCGATGTTAGTTTCGATGAAAATATGTGAATTACTTATACGATCTTTATGTTGTGATATACTTAAACTTCTGGAACACGGGAAATGTGTTTGAAAATGTATTATAGATGTATTATTGTAATAAAGTGTTCGGTAAGATAATGTGGAACACTTGGAAGATGTAAAGAATATATAATACCTTATGTTGTTTCCGGTCTTCTGCCTCTTTCACGTTTACATACAATTTGTGTACTGTGCCTGCTTTCAACTCTAAGCAAGCAGATAGAAAGAGAACTAAAGCCGGTGACTGTATATAATTACACCAACCCAGTAATATCTTAATGTTATGAGGTTTTAGTTTGGGCTTTGTAGAAGCGTGACTGTGGAACAATAGAAAGCGATCCAGCTGATATATATACATATACACACCTTCAAAAGTACGAGTAAATGTGGTTGCGGTCGTAGACGTATATATTTCTTTGCTAATTGGGACAAGTTCTTCCATTCCTTTTTGTGTTTGTGTATTTCTTTCGTGCGTAACACGCCTTCTCGTGTAGATCCCTACCCCATGGGGCGTAGCTTCATCTAACACACCCTACGGGGTACTTTTCCCAGACAATGATGCATACTTGGAACAATGGTTTTAAAAATTTAGCTGGCACGTGGGGGATAGCATGCAGAGAATTATAAGGCGACCTCTTTCGGTAAAACGTGCTAGATTTTCCAAATTTTGTGTGATAATTAGGACAGAATACTCGTGTTTTATTGTCTTAATGAATGAATTGTATGGTAGCATAGTAAATCATGTTTAAATCTAGAATAAGAGTTCGAGTAGGCATGAAATTATGCACAATTTAATTTAATAAGTGGCGAAAGCAGCATCCAAAAGAAAAATATTTAGTAGCATTCTAAATTGAGATTTAAAAAAAAACTTTTGCTGCAAATAGAGATAAGAGCTATGAAAAAATTTGATAATTATCTTGTTTCAGGTTAAGCCAATGTTTTGTATTTATTGACATCATAACACATGATGCTGATAAGCATTAGATACTGATTCTGGAATAAGCCAGAGCAAGAACTGCAAAGTTACCTTTAAAAAATGAGGATAAAAGATAAGAAATCAACACAGTATCTGCAAATGATATATTATGTCTTCCTATTTGATATTTCTGATAATTTCGAATGTATTTGACGCTGTGTTGATAATGATACACCTCATTACTATAATTTAATTATGTTTAAAATTCCAAAGTTTGATACTTTACAGTTTTCACTCACTTACGTTTCACAAAGGTGGATGGTGTTTCTATAGTCAGGTAGATTTACTAAGACTTTATAGATGGATGATTCTACTAGGCGAACGGTGCTATTAAGGTTCTATAGGCATATGGTTTTACTAGGCGTATTGTGTGTGTATTTACAAAGGCGGATGGTGTTTCTATAGTCAGGTAGATTTACTAAGGCTTTATAGATGGACGATTCTACTAGGCGAACGGTGCTACTAAGGTTCTATAGGCGTATGGTTTTACTAGGCGTATTGTGTGTGTATTTACAAAGGCGGATGGTGTTTCTATAGTCAGGTAGATTTACTAAGGATTTACTATAAGATGGATGATTCTACTAGACGAACGGTGCTACTAAGGTTCTATAGGCGTATGGTTTTACTAGGCGTATTGTGTGTGTGTGTTTTACAAAGGCGGATGGTCTTGTAGAATTACATACAGTTTTCAACTTGTCCCATCTTATGTTTATAGTTTTCATTTATATATTTAACTGTATTACATGTGTTTTAGAAAAGCGGACAGTGTTACTATACTTCCGTAAGGCTACACACAGATTTCAACTTGTCTCAACTAATGTTTATATTTTTCATTTATATATTTAACTGTATTACATGTGTTTTTATAGGAAAATATATCACTAACACATTTAACTTACTCCTGAAAAGTTATATCACACTCAATGTTTCGTTTTCATAAATATTGAACAAGACAGCTGATTGTGTTTTTATGATTTAGTACAAACTTAATGTATTGTAGTATAGTTTTTCGCTTCTATAATTGATTTGCATGATACAATTTTTACAATTATCGTCTTGAAAAGGATGTTTATTTAAACCTTTAATTATCATCCACTAAATTAAGATACAAACTTACATACAGTTTCACTAATTTGGTTTTATGGATTAAATATATTATTCCTCTACCCTATGATTTTTATTGCGTATAACAGTTCTTGGTAAAATATTTCATTTTACACATGTTAATTTATAGTTTTTACTTAAATATGTTTTACAAAGGCGGATGATGTTACTAGGTGGATTGTGTTACTAAGGTTCTATAGACGGATGGTTTTACTAGACAAATTGCGTGTGTCTGTTTTGTTTTATGTAAAAATGTTTTATATTTGTTTTGTAAAAGCAATGGGTAATATTTACTTGCGGGTTCGGACCAAAGAGGCTTTCAAAAAAATGCCCGACTTTTCCTGGACCAACTAGAGTTAATTTTCATGAAAGCAAACATTCGGTACTTATAAGTTATTTTATGCAAAAGTGAATTAACATTGTTTGCGTAAATGTATGATATTGGCTGAGTGTGTGTAACTTTAAAATAATTTTTGGTCAAGCGCTTCATTACCATTTCAGTCAATATCACCTTATTACGTGCTTCTTTGTTGATATTGAGCTGGTTTTAGTAGATGTTAAATAAGTATACATATGTAAATATACTATCGTTACTCCGTAACCATAGTGATGAACAAACCGTGAATTCGTTAAATTTGTTGGAAGATTTGTGTAGGATACGAAGTAAGCTCTTAAATTACTATATAAAGTTCGAACAACATCCTGAAACAAGTACAACTATACAGTAAAATAAATATTACTATAAGTTGGAGTAAGCTTTAAGTTTCATATATCGCAACGGGGCACCTCTTTAAACAGTTAATAATATGCCGTGGTACTAATACCTTGGAGACGTAATATATATCTTTGATAAGCATAATATAATACACCTTGGAGAAAAACGATTTATGCATGACCTCATAGGTTTCATGGTAATTTTTTTCTTTTCAATCTCATACTCTGAATAGAAACACACTAAAAGTTAAAAAAGCCACACATAACACTTTGATTTTGATTTTTTACAATTAAATCGTACATACACTGTGACTTGAATATTTGAGTTTTTATACAAAATTTCGTTGTATGTGAAACAACACAACTCTATGTTCTTTTCGTTGTTTGTTTCTTATAGGTATGACGTTCTGACTATAAAAGCATACAAATAAGAAGGAAGCAAAGATGTGGAGATTTTCAGTTTGGCACCAGATTCTCCTCTTTGTTCTAATCTCGCCAGTTCTCGTAGCCAGTCACAAAGGAGGTAAGCTGGTCCATGGTTGTTCTTGTGATTTGTACTTCATTTTCTTGCTAAAGCTTTTGTCAGACTATATATCCATATGGATTTTCTAAGAGTGAGAGACTATTTCATTATTTTTCACGCTATAATAATCTGTTATTTTAATGTTTTATAAATGAGTGTAAAATAAATTGTATTATGTTAAGCGAAAATTGATTATTGAATATTATCATGCAACGATTAGACACCTAGTAGTTAAACGTTTATTGAAAAGCCAACGTAAACTGGTCCACGATGATTACAAAAGTATTTATCTCATATTAAAAAGCACGCCTGGCCAACAGAAGTTAGAATCAGAAAATAAACCCAATAATCCGTGTGCTTTCCGAAAGTGCACTTTTTTTTCATCTGGCGCAAATGACATATGTTTGACATGCATAATTGGGTTACAAATCATCAGAAACGAAAATGTTTACTTGATTCCCTAGCTACTTGATATTCCAAGACTAGGAATAAATATATATTTTTTCAATTCCACTTTTATGTAAACTTCGGTTTCATCTCGTAATTAAAACATATCACTCTGCAAGGATTAAAATACTTAATAAACAAAATAAGATGACAGAAATACATGAACATTCTCATCTTATTTAAAAGTTTTATAAATCATCTTAATCATTGGTTTTGTGTCCACCAGAACAAAGAACTACACCCAAGTGTTTCGAAAATACGAATAAGACACTAATCATAAACAAGTTCCAGAGTGTGCGAAAAAAACACGAAATAATAAAACAAGAAGGCACCAACAGATCACCGAATGACATTTATATGATTTATATTTATATGATGCGTGCAATTAATAGCTTTAAATAACCCGGATGAAAAAAAAAAGTTTTCTCTTTTCAAAGAATCGTTATTGGTTTTAAGTGAACGTTCGACTAAAGAAGTGGAACTTGTGCGTTCAGCATATGTGTTGAAATAATTAACTAAAATTTTATAAACGTTCCTCTGTTACATGGTGTATGTTATTCAGTGAATTACCACCGTAACTATAAAGTGACATCAGTCCGAAACGCAGCTTCATTAACATAATATGCACTAGTTCATGCAACACTAGAATTACTTTGTAATAGAAATAACTAGAAAGTTAATCCACGTTATTTTGTTTAATGTAAAACAAATTTCTTTATTCAATCAGACAAGGGTTGGCTGTGGGTACTGTTGATGAGCTGACTTCCATCTTAGCGCGAACATTTTGATGAAACAAACAATTTCTTTTGTATTGTTTGTCGCTTAATATTTTTAATTTGTTGAGTAGCTAAAGTCTTTGTATTCTCAAAAATGTCGTGAAAATCTATATTTTCATATCATTCGTATAGAAAGATGCACTTGGTGTACGCTTTTCAAAATGGAACCCTTTTCATGAAAACTCCCATGATTTGTTTTGCGAATTTCGGCTATGCTAGATGTTACTACGAGCTAGTTTTTCAAAATACAATTTAGAACTATACTTTTTTAAGTTTTTACACCAAACGAATATTGTTACAAACTAAGATTGTGTTTATTGTTCGAGCTATCCCCCTTTCTTTAGTAATTATTTACTCCACGAGTCTGAACTGACAAACGAAAACATCTTCCTTGAATAAACGCGCTGACAACCTTATAGAGTGTGGCTTTATCAAGATTACAATTTATAGCTCCTTCTTTACTCATTTCCATTTTAACAAGAAGTATAACTGCAGTTATAAACATGTCGAAAAAAACTGCTAAATTCATCCTCACATTGAATTGAATCACTGTTGCTTTATCGTAAATGACGAATTCAGAAAGCTTTAAGGACACATAACAGCAAATATAAAATGACATAAAATCAAAGTAAGAAGATACACGACGGAATTAACATACGAATGCCTGGCTCAATCTCTTTAAATTTTTCATTTAAAGCACTGCAGGACTCTTAAAAAACAGGGATACAGGATTTTCAACCGCTGCGTCTACATGGTTATACAGCGAACAGGGCTGTATTATAAAGCTATTTTATAGTAACTCACGTTGGAGCAGACAGATGGTGAACTCGTGAAAATAAATAAATATATATATACATTTCTCCAAACCCAGGTGTTAGCTTAAGATTATTATAATGTACCTTACTTTTTGTATGCATTTTTTTATATTTACTGCAACAGGCGCTCTACAGTTTAGTAGTTAGTGTCATGTGTGTTGTAATTTGTACATAAACTTTGGGTTTCACCTTGGCATTAACCCTGATTTTACTTCTCTAGTCCTCTCCAGATATTTACCCCTATGGGCTTTTGCGTAACTCTAAGCAGAATATATTGCTCTACAGCATTTAGCTGATCAATAGCTTAGCATTAAAGTTGGTTCACGCTGTGTTTCTATGATGTAATTCATAAATAATTGTGTTTTTTATTTCAAAAATAGTGCTGAAGCATTTTCATTAATTTTTTTCCTAAAAGTGTTCAGTATTTCTCATGCTGGTTTATGAATTAGAACCCATATAACTAAAGAGCGATATAAACCTAATACTGTACAACCCTAAAGTGTTGAAAATATTACAACAAAGTTATACTTAGATTTATGCATTCTTAAAAACAACTCGCAATACAATTTGAAACTTTTTATAACTTATATCAAGAACAAAATTATGACCCCCCCCAGTGGCACAGTGGTATGTCTGCGGACTTACAACGCTAGAATCCGGGTTTCGATACCCGTGGTGGGCAGAGCACAGATAGCACCTTGTGTAGCTTTGTGCTTAATTACAAACAAACAAACAAAATTATGAAAACAACCTGCTTCAGATGAATATCGGAACAATTAGTTGTTAAACTAAGTTTTTAATACTTTTCTTTTTTTAATTATGTACCTATTAGAAGATATTATGTAAATAGTATTTACAAGACTATGATCTTAGGCTCTCGCAATATGCAGGTTGTGGGTTTGAATCCCCGTCGCCGAACGTGCACGCTTTTTCAGCCATGGAAACGCTATAATAGAACAGCCAATCCCACCATTTCGTTGGTATGATAGTACCTCACGAATTGGCGGTAGGTAGTGTTGACTTCCCTCTAGTCCTTCGCTGCTAAGTCAAAGACGGTTACCTGGAAAGTAGATGGGCACCACCAACTAAAACCTGCCCAAGTATCACTGATGGAGCATCAGCATCCAAGGAGAAAAAAACAGTCTTAGGCTTTCTGGCAAAAGGTGTTATTAGTATTTTGTTTGGGTTTATAAGCTTCTGGTCTGAAATATGGCAAAACTGAAGATGGATTAATGTCATTTTTTTTCCTAATCAGTTCAAGACGACAATTTCCTTAAACCTAAAGTAGCAACAAATTCAAGATTGGTTTTCAAAAAGGCACACCTTCAGTTCATTGGCTGGTTGCTTTTTTTTTCCTTACTTTTGTTACGTCCCCTAACGTTGTTGTTATTCAAATAGAAGTATTGTTACCATAGAAATAGAAAAGGTTGGAATGGCTATTTATTTTAATCTAAGTGAACTCATGTAAACTAGAAGTTTATTAAGACTACATTACTGTATCTAGCAAAGACAGTAAATTTAAAGTACGGGCGGTCCCAGCGGGGGGAACAACAGAATTATGTTTATGAACACATGAAACCAGAATCTCCTGTGTGGTCCGTATACTTAGAGTCTTCTTCGGTCAGAGCTATTGGATTTAAATAGCTATTGACACGCAAGTTTTATGCTGGTAGTTCAGGCGAATACAAAAACTCATTTAGGATATTACATCCTATCTATTTTTCATTCCCCTTTTACCCTATAGTCATATTGTTTACGAATGGTTTAGACTATATTTCTACGAGATCACTTACTGACGCTTTTTTATAGTGGCTGAAATTCTGACCTCTCTGAATATGTTAGTAATTATCACTCTAATTCTGGCCACTAAATGACCTAATCTGAGACATTTCACTTTCTTCTAGTTGGATACTACACGCTTGTCTATTCAGTAGCCAATTTACGCAACAGGAGTCAGCCAACTATCGTTTTTTTTTTCTGTATATATATATATGTCATTTTCCAATATAGGTGGCTTCCCTTCGCTGTTTCTTTTAAACTAATTGTGGCTTTTGGGTGCCTTGCTTGTTTGTCATCCTTCCTCTACCTTCCCACATTGCTGTATGGCCAAAAGGAAAATGCATTATTGTGTGTTTGGGTCTGAGAGGCAAAAAGATGTTGATAGAGGGTGTTTTGAATGGTGTGGTACATGTGTAGGGTGATCTGTCCGAAACAAGGAATTTCTTTAACCCTGAAGCGACCAGGGAGCTGAACAATAGTTGACCCCCTTTTCTCCTCTCTTGATACTTGCGGCATAATTTGGCAGCTGGTTTCTAGCTGTGAATTTTCCGCAATTTTTCCTTCAGAAGGAGACCGTCAAAAGAAACATTAAACAGAATTAGCCGTGAAGAATTTAACAGATAGCAAGTAATGCATCTTACGAAGGAAGTTTTTATGAGAATTTACGAACCGCATCAACATTCTCGAAAATGTTTTCATGCCCTGCTCAGTCCTTAAGCTTCCCGCTGTAACCTCTGTCAGACTTTATGTACGTTATGAGACAAAATAAAAATATCACAAACACTTAGAATATCTTCACAGCCTTAACCATTACGCTAATTAAGGACCATTAGTCGCACAAACAGATTTTATGCTTCCGCAGTAGCGACACCCGCAAATGGAATCCTCGAGATTGTGTCAGTGATGATGCCTTCCAACACATACCAATACATTAAAGTCCTATTTACACATGAAGAGGGAAACAAAATATTTATCATTTCGTGATAATGTAGGCGAATAAGCAATTATGCTTTTAGTCAGGTCCGGTGTGTTCGTTTGTGTGTGTGTGTGTGTGTCTGTAAGCTTTGACTAAAACACATTATGTTAAATACTAAAAAAATTGGTAAATCGTATGCTTTTCCAAGGCAATGTAATTTTTAATTAATCTAGCTTTTAATAGATACGGAGTGCATACCCCTGAACC